TGGAAATAATGATGTGTTTCGTATGGTATGTAGTTATATGATAAATAAAATCATCAATACATTGGGCAATGGGGATTTCACATACAACGCTTGTCGGCTAGGTTAAATTTTATTCCAAGAAAACTATTTTTAACTTGTTTTTCTTAAACCTTAGATTTTAGTTTCATTCTTTACACCAAAATGTATCAAACTGATAAATCTGAGCTACATTAAAGCTGTTAAAATAACTTTTATAAGTAATAGGGCATTTTCGCATGCTAATTTTTTGGTAAGGTTTGTCTTATAAGGCATTTTCTTATATATTTTGTAAGACAATATTTATGTTCCTTATTTTCATACATCACTTTTATTTATATTTTCAGCATGTTTAAAGATTACAATCACACCCAAGACTGGTAGACATTTATTTTCTCGGAGAAATAACATATAGTGTTCTTTAAAAAGATAATATTTACATAAATAAATATGCAACTACTTGTAAATTTAAATAAATAAATAAATAAATAAATATTTAATTGTCTTAATACCACATAAATTTGCATTTATTTATTTTGTAAGGATTCTCATTAAGATTATAATTAAGAGTTATTTAAAGACCAGGCACGTACTGATATTCATCAGACTTAACTGGGATGTTATGTAAGATGGTTGCTACGTTCATTTTATAATCATTAAATTGTTTTCTACCATTTCACGTTATTACAGGTGTCTGATGACCACTATCTTGATAAATGTTCAATATTTCAATTTTGAATTATTGGACTATTTGATTTGTAACAACTGCAAAGTGTCAATGACAATAACATGTAATCTATTTACAAAAGATGAGAACAACTTCTGCCAGAAATCCTTTTTTTGAAAGACTTCAGTGATCTCGTATGGCTTAAACCGTAGGGAAAGGGCTTGCGGTTTTATCTAACGTGTCTGTTTGACTTCAGTCTAAATGCGACTGAGAAGGACATTTGACTACACTATTTCTTCTTTCAAAGTCCAGTAAATGGCCAAGGTCGTCAATCTACTGTAAACTCATTTGAAAAAGAGAAACCGGAACATTATGTGAACAATGCAAAAAGTATTATGGTTTTCTTTAAAAAAATTCTTGGAGAACATCTTGACTGAAGACAATAAAGTAAAAGAAATAGTGATATAGATTTACAGGTGTTGCTACCAATACCAAAAAGTGACACTTGGAAATTCTTAGTAAAGACTTGCAAATATAACACAGAAGCTTATACAATAAGGCCAGGCTCAGATGGAGGTGGGCGTAGTTTATAGTCAAATTGAACGGAAACTTAAAATCACACTTATATATTATCTTGTTAACTATGTTTGTTTGATTGGGTTTTATGTCACACCGACACAGTATAGGTCATATATGGTGACGTCCCAGCTTTACTGATTGAAGAAGACTTCAGTTGCCATTCCGTTCATTATTTCAGGCACGAACGGGTACCTAAATAGAACCACAGACGTTCCTTAAGCTAGCTGGATAGCTTCCTCACATGAAATAATCCAAAGTCTCTGTCAGGATTCGAACCCATAGTGGTGAGGGAAAGTGCTTTGAAAACAACGGCCACGGATGCTCAATGTTTTAAAACTGCTCGCCCGAGTTACCTATATTAGGTTAAATAACAATAGGCATGATTCTTGAAGAACATTACGATATCGTATGAAACCATTAGACAGGGAAATACTTGTTAGAACAATATGACTTGGTGCTTTTGATGTGACACTTCTAGTGTTTGCTTAATACTTTTTTGTATGTCATGTAGCAGCATATTAATAACATGACTGTTTATTATATAGAGAGTTATGATGAGAAAAATGCTAAATGCTTATTTTACGAAATGTTTTGTTTTTAATTGACAGTATATATCCAGATTCATGGTTATTTTCACTAAAATTTTGAAATGTTTTTGAAATGTTAAAATACTGTGAAGTTAACAACAACAAAATGAAACAAAGTTCAAACAGCACTTTACATATCAAATAGAAAACAAAATATGAAAAGGTAGCACCTACCGTGTTAGTCATGCAATAAAATTTTGTAATAAAAATGTAAAACAGTAATTACTCGACCAAAAAAAATGTAAATTTTTACTTAAATCATTATACTTTCCTTCAAATTGTTTTACATTTTTTTAAAATGTTTTGCTTATCTGAAGGCATGAAGCTCTTAGAACTTAAGAACTTGGTATTAGGATTGATGTTTTTTATCTATATGGTAAATAATAGAAAAGGTAATATTGGTTGTTTGGGCAGTATACTTTTATTGGTGAAGCCAAATTGACTACATATTAAAAGGTTTTATGTTTCGGAATGTTTGTAGTTTTTTGTTTCATTTTTTAATATTTCCTGTCGTCTTAAAACATAATAACACTTTATTCCCAAAATCCTTGAATTTCTTTAGGAACATTGATGAATAGTACTGGTAAATGTGTCTCGTAATGCCATTATGAACCTAACAAGAGTATGTTAACGTGTGCGAAAGGGCCTTATAAGGCCACTTGAGACCCCTATTTGGCCATTTTTGCCATGTGAAAAGGACGTATGGGCATTTATTATGAAACAGTAGGGTTTATCATAACCAAATTAAATGTATTTAAAATGAATTTAAATGTTCATTTTTATCTGTTAATTTCATTTCTGTATGTGTTTCCATGCCAAAACTAAACGGTTTTTTCCATCTCCTGAAAAGTAGCACTTTTGCAGATAAGGCCTTTTCGAAGCCCACCGACGATATGTTCAAAGGTGAAGTCTATAGTCTGTTTCTAAATTCACAACATGACGAGCAGTGACTGTGTATGATGAAGTTTATAACTTCAAATGTGTTTGTTATTGTAATATTAAAGGAATCGTAGTCTTTACGATGTTAATTTTTGACCACAAGATTTAACAGAAGAAAAACATCCTGAGTGAAAAATGGCTGTTTCTTACTTGGATGTACATACCATTTTTTTTTTTAAAAGAAGAAAATATCTATCTCAAGCTAACAGCTTTGTTTATTGTTAATCAAGATTGAAATGAATACCATCATGAATAAAACAAGTGCAAGTGTTATGTTATTTTATTAAGCCATGTTAACTCTTTCATTTTTGGCAGCATGCATCTCAAATTCAGGTAAATCAAATCTTCATATGAAAAAGAATGCATGATTAAATTTGATAGTACCTGGCAAGACTTAAACAAAAACAAATATTCAAAGATATTAAATGTAACACACTATTTTTATTGATGACTCATCCATTTTGAAGTATTTCTATAACATAACAAGATTAAAAGCAGACATTATATATTCCAGTAAACAAAGTGGTAGAGATTGAAGAGTTTTCTCTCGTTTGGCTCACGAGAAAAAAAAGTCAATAAAGTAATTAAAGTCTTAAGGTTAAGGGGCCTGACTTTGACAGTCAAAAAAATAAGAACAAACTATATAGATAGAAGGTTCAAATCAGGCTATGAATATCAAAGTGATATATTCAAAGTAAGAATTTAATATACAAAACTTTGTCTAAATAGATTTTGACTGAAGACAAGTCCACTTTTCTCGGCTTATGCATAATCTTTCTTGGTTGCCATTCTAAAATCATTTGCTGTATACTTGTTCATAAATTGTGTGATTAAGATAACATAAAAATCTCAAAATTCTGACATTCCATATAAGCTAATAAAAACTTTTTTTGATAATGGTACATAATTGTAATATAATAATGGCTTTCTTTACATGTGTCAAAGAATTTGCCAATTTTAAATCATCTGCTTACTGCAAATATACATGTTTTACCAATTATAATATGAAACAAGAAACATGGCAATGCCACGAAACGAGGTTTTCAATTATCACCATTGTAGATACCTAATATGTTGTAGTTGAAATACAAGCAACAAGCATAACTATGTGCTATATAAATCATGAATAATGAATTTTCTATTTTTAGCAACTGTAACCTTGACCCTAGGGGGCTAAAAAGCCATCCTAAGTGAGGTCTTTATAAAAACTTGCTTTACACCAAGATATCTTATTCCAAACTAGTTATTGACTGGAAACCTTTTTCCTATTTTTAGCTCACCTGTCACAAAGTGACAGGGTGAGCTTTTGTGATCGCTTTTTGTCCGGCGTCCGTCCGTCAACTTTTACTTTAAATGACATCTCCTCATAAACCACAAAGCCAATTTCATCAAAACTTCACAGGAATGTTCCTTTGGTGGTCACCTTTAAAAATTGTTCAAAGAATTTAATTCCATGCAGAACTCTGGTTGCCTAGGCAACCGAAAGAAAAAACTTGAAATATCTTCTTTTAAAAAACCCTAAGAGCTAGAGCTTAGATATTTGGCATGAAACATCTTCTAGTGAGTGTCTACCAAGTTTGTTCAAATAAAAGCTCAGGGGTCAAAATTGGCCCTGCCCCGGGGGTCATTGATTTTCCTTATATGTGTATAACAAAAACTTAAAAAATCTTCTTTGAAAAAACCTAAATAGCTAGAGTTTAGATATTAAGCATGAAACATCTTCAAGTAAGTGTCTACAAAGTTTGTTCAAATAAAAGCCCTGGGGTCAAAATTGGCCCCGCCTCTGGGGTCATTTATTTTCCTTATATGTCTATTGCAAAAACTTAAAAATCTTCTTTGAAAAATCCCAAATAGCTAGAGTTTAGATATTAAGCATGAAACATCTTCTAGTAAGTGTATACAAAGTTAAAAAACTTCTTTTAAATAACCCAATGAGCTAGAGCTTAGATGTTTAGCAAGAAACATCTTCTTATGGGTGTCTACCAAGTTTGTCCAAATAAAAGCCCTTGGGTTAAAATTGGCCCTGCCAGGGGGGGGGGGCTATATACAGGTGAGCGACCTCAGGGCCATCATGGCCCTTTTGTTAGTAACAGTGACCTGACTAGAAACAGATATTCTATTTTTAGCAACATTGACCTTGACTCTACAGGACCTAAAAGCACAAAAGCAGGCAGAATGAGCTGGCAGGCATGCAGCAACCTACATGAAGATAGTTTCTGTTTTATAACTAAATTAAGTTTGTTGTGATTAAAAGGGTATATTACACTAATAATTAAATTTTATGGAAAAAAACAAAGGGCCATAATAAGGTAAAAACTTATCCAATCACAAAACCCCGACAATATGCATCAGAGCACTTGAAGACAAAGCTAATCTGTGAAAGTTTAAACAAAATCCCTTGAGAAATGTAGGAGTTGCGCAACAGAACAAATTGTTCACTACATACTCTATATAAGGAAAAAAAACAAAGGGCCATAATTAGGTAAAAAATTATCCAATCACAAAACCCCAACAATATGCATCAGGACACTTGATGACAAAGCTTCTGTGAAAGTTTAAACAAAATCCTTTGAGAAATTTAGGAGGAGTTGCGCACAAAAGAAATTGTTCACTATATATTCTATATAAGGAAAAAAAACAAAGGGCCATAATTAGGTCAAATATTATCCAATCACAAAACCCTGACAATCTGCACCAGGGCACTTGATGACAAAGCTTCTGTGAAAGTTTGGTCAAAATCCGTTGAGAAATGTAGGAGGAGTTGCGCACAGAAAAAAATGTTTACGCCCGTCCGCCCGCCGACATACCTCAATCTAATAACCAGTGTTTTCCTTCGGAAAACCTGTTTAATGATAGTGAGCTAAATACTGTAGAAATCTAGAGAAAGAATATACATGTTACTATAACTCGTGAACAGTTAGTCTTATATCAGCAAATGTATTTCGTTTGCATTATAATATTCTGGCGAGTAGTTTGCATATATGCCATTTTGCAGCATTGTTCTTTTTTCTTACTAGAAGTGAAGACAGGTAACATTTTAAAGCTTCTTGATGACAAAGTTGATCTTCATAACATTGTCCAAGTAAATTTAGAGCTGTTTCTTTGTGACAAAGAATTGCGTTTCCTGTGCAAGTATATGTAAGTTTGGCCAAAGCTAGTCTTTTTTCTTTTGTTCTCTTTTGATGTCTATATACTTTGTATTTTAGGAAATACAAGAAAGGGAGAGAATCAACCACCGATAAGTCCATCCACATTTCATCTAGCTCGTCTCTGTGCTGCATATCATCTTTACTAGATCTGAACATTTCATATTGTAGTTCATGGGGAATACAGTTAAATTCACTTTTATGGAAACGTACACAATACCCTATAAATGGCTGGATTTCAGTAACATCTTTATAACACAATGCCATGAGTTCTCTTGTAAATACATGTGGATGTGGATAGCATAGACAGAATGGGTTTATAAAAGCTGTTCTCTTAAATTCCACACCACTTTCAATATGCCTTAGAATGTCTCCACATTCTTCCAAATTTTCTGAGCAATAATATGTAGAGGCTAGTTTAAGTGTTGTAGAAACACTATTGTATGGATATTGTATAAAATAACTTAAAGCCTCATGTGAAACAGGGTTAAATTGTCCAATGTTGGACGAGGCCAACACAGATCCTAATGTTGCGTAAATCTCGGGTAAAAGAAACGTGCACGCTTTCTTTTCTAATTCGCTACCCTTTTCACTAACCTTGTTCAGTTTTTGAATATATGTTGTTACTGTTTCTCTGTTTTCCATTGACAGAGCTTTATACTTTTGTATAACATTAGCAAAGAACCAAATATTTAGGTTGAAGCATATATACTCACTGATTTCTTTTTGAGACTGAACGCTAGAATCAATCATCATACCAATCATTTTCAGTTTTATCTTTAATCTTTTACCAAGATTGTCAATTTCAATACCGAATAATCCAAGTCTGTATGTGCATAGTAGATTATTAAGTGTGCTAATCAGGTCAAGCTGTTCCTCGCCCGTGAACTGACCTGCCATCAAATTATTTTCAGTAATAATGAAATGTGGACATTTTTGACTTAATAAGAAGAACCGTAGTTGTAGCAGACAGACATACACACATATATATAAATTATTTTCTCTCCACATTCCGGGCTCTGACCTTTCTATGCAATGAAATAATGTTGTTTTGCACATAAAACTTGAAATTTTAGTGTCCCCGTTAGATAAGAAATATGTTTTTGCAATCATTTTCAATAAAACGTAACAGCGTAATTGGGTAATGTTCAAACTAAACATTAAACACCTCTCTGCAATTGAAGTTGATATTCTCCATTCAATTTCCGGATCTATGCTGATCTTACTTCCAACCGGAACTAAGAAAAATCCCTTACTTACACATTCTTTTTTCATTTCTTGTGTTGGCCATCTACCCAATCCTTGTCGCTGTAGCCAATCACATGCTGAACGTGGCCATGAAAAACAAGGATAAGCAATTACAGCATCCATATCATCAGTTCTATGTTCTCCTTGTGTGCTTATTGCGGGTCCATGTATTGCTGCTCCGATCAAACATTTCAAACTAACAGCATCGTGATGTTTTGTATTTTTCAAAACCAAATTCTCTAGATAATCATTACCTTCACCAGTCTTTGCTTGACTGGATTCGATTACCTGGAGATAACAGTATCCTTTAGTTGTATTATCATCTGTGGCTATAAGATAGTTGTGCTTGCCATTTTGAAAGTCACCAATATCCTGTATCACATTATACGCATTATCGCAACTTAGTATATCAAAATCAGATTGAAGTCCTTTTGTAACAGACCCTTCACTTTGACTACCTAAAAAATATGTGTTGACATCGTCTCCCTTTAACCCGTCTATTAAAGATAGAATTTTCTCATTCAGCATAAATGTATGTCTTCTCCTCATCACCAATTTCTCGTTTACACCAATATCGTCCATAACTTGAGATAATTTTGAAGATATGTTATAATCATATTTAGTTTTGCTTAACATTCTGAAATAAAACAAGAAGTATTCTGAAATAAAACAAGAAGTATTTTTCATAAAAGATACTCGGCCGAAGTAAAACAGGTTAACATGTAAAATTATGTTATTTCTAAGTTTTCAATACAAAAGAAATTTTAGCGATACTTGCATAACAATGACATCATAATTATTTCTTGTAGCTAAGATAATACTCATTTTGTAAACATTGAAATTAAATTATAGCATATTGATATCGATGATTTTAAAAAGTACATTTGTAGGATAACTTCTGTCTTAAGGATCCCCTTTACGTTATACATTTGACTTTATAAATTTTGTAATCATTAACAAAGAATTATCCTTTATAATTGATTTTTACTGTGGCAAAAACTATCCTTAACATTTTACTTTAGAGCTATCCTTATAATCTTCTTTTAGAACTGTAAGAACTATCCTTTATATTTTATTTTAGAATGGTTAAAACTATCATTTTATTTTATAATTACTAATGAGATTCACCGATTCCAGTTTGTAATTTTATCATGACCAATGAAAATTCTTTCATTATTCAGTCCTTCCCTGTTTATTTTACAAGAAGTCAAACTGATAACAGATGGACTTCGTCCAAAAAAAACGTGATAGTGTGGTTAAGCGTTTGTATATATTTGCGCAATCAACACAATGACACTCCATCAACCACCCCACATTAGTGTTTTTTGGGGCAATTGTACCCCCATCGAATGAAACATGCTATTGAATATTTCCCTACCCGATATGTCCCTAAAGAATAATTACCCGAAAATCCCCCCCCCTTTTCTTCTCATTCAGTTGTGTGTTATTATCTTAACATTACACTTTATAATCCGCATTTCCGTCTTTTGAAGGATATAAACCCAAGAACTTGAAATCTTGTTGTGTGTCATATATCGTGTAATGTCACAGTGTAGCCAAATGTAAAACAAATGCTGTACATGAGAGAGCATGTTTAAATGTTGTTTGAATAGAAAAGAGTGGTCTTTAAACAGAGACATGGTTCTGTCAAAATCTATAATATGGATGTGTACTTTTCTTACCTAAAATAGGCGTGAAAATCTTATAAAAAGTTCTAATAAGGTTCATTAAAAAAGTAGATGTTACAAATCAACTGAAATTTTAGCGAAAGAAAACATTTCTGTTTTTATGCATCATATTACGAGTATGAATTAATTGTTATTTAAAAAATAAGGTCTTTTAAATAACTATTATTTTTACAATTATTGTCAGGAAATTTTATGACTAAAAAGTTTTGCGTGTTACTTTAAATAAAGGCATTTGAGAGAGGGTAAAAATCTTTTACAAGTTTACTTTGTTTCTGCCCTGAGAGCCATGAAACGACTGTAAATAATTCAGATACCTATATAGGACTTTCCATAATTCTTAAGACAAAGAGCTTCCATAAATATTGTCAATTGACTGGTAGTGTATCAAACAATGTGATTAAGGATGAATCATTTTTTACCTTGACCATATTCGAAGCAAAATAAGCTGTCATATAACAATTTAAAGCAAAACATTTTATGTAAATTTTATGTAATTTATCACATGACTAAAGAAATTTATCACTTAAACTAAAGAAAGATAAAGTTAATATTTCTATATAAGCTGTCAAATTTAATTCAACTCATATGACGTGACTGTAATCGCAAACAGAATTAGGATGCAAGTATTTCAAGTGCGCTTAAAAGTTATTTGATTTCATATGATATGTAAAATGTTTAATAGTCGTCTGGCCCGCGGTCACCCTTGTATTACACGGGGCCTGAATTCCTCTCACCTTATATCGATCGTTAGCCTTATTTTCCAAAAAAAAAAACTATCTACATGTATTAATCCTACGAATTTTTGTTTAAACTTTTTTTAGGCCTATTCCATAAAATGGTCACTTTTCGTACTGTCCACTTGGTTTATATCGAATTTACACAAAGGATAATACCCTACTGTTAACCATAGTCACGGGGGAGGAACTGTTACACGAAGGATGGAGTTCTTATGATAACTTGTCAAGGAGTTCTTGTGATAACTGTCACGGAGTTCGTCGGAAAACTTTTGTATATACTACAAAAACACTCGTCAAAAATGGTAATTTTCATCTTTAAAAAGTGAGTTTTAGGTGCTAAATTAAACTTTAATGATTTAGTTTGCCTTACATCTTGTAATTTTAATTCGGTAATTATGTATGGCAAAGATGAAGACCAGAAATAAACAGGTCAATGCTTGCGAGTTGGATAGTTGCAAATAATTTGGAAATTTTACTCAAAACTACCAGAATCTAAGAAAGAGGCGATAAATAATGGCCTATGAATCAGTTTTTAACATATAATACAAGATATAATGCAAGCTTAATCATTAAAGTTTAATTTAGCACCTAAAACTCAAAGTTTTTCGACGAACTCCGTGACCGTTATAAGAAGAACTCCTTGACAAGATATCATAAGAACTCCATCCTTCGTGTAGCAGTTCTTCCCCCGTGATAGTATTAAACTGATTAATTCGTCATTGCACACAATATATTAATCTGTGACATTCGGTAATAGTGAAGCGTTATAGCGCAATAGTGTATACTATGGGTTTATAATTTGTATAACAAATGGCCTACGTACGAGGGTCATTCAATAATTTCTGATAATGACCTTATTGTGTGATACACACCTACCGTATATATATTCCTTCAAAGTGACCACTTTCCATCTGTACAAAAGATTGGCAATGTCCGTTGTTAGGCAACAGCGTGTGATGTGTTGAAGTTCCGTGGCCATGGCAACTTTAAGTTTCTCTAAGTCATTAAATCTAACACCCCTGAGTTTAGGAAAAAGGTCATAGTCACAGGGACTCTTGTACTCATGAGCGACGTGCAAATGACGTCATATATATATGTAACGTGATACGTCGCATGGAAACATGCTCTACTTCAATTAATAGTCAATGAAATAAAAAACGATATGGGGTCATTATCAGAACTTATTAAATGACCCCGAGACCGCGCAAGTCCATTTTGTTTCTTTTTTATATTTTAAACATTATTAAAGCTATGTCTTTATGATTTTAGTGAGTTTTTTTAAGATATGTGTCACTTATTTTGGTAAACAAAAAATGGTTTAAGAATTAATATCTTAAATTCAGTGACTGCATAGATAAACTCTCATTATCAGATTAGTGGATACAATAAGAATATCAGGGTAACCTATTTGTTATTAAAAGAGCACATGTCAATGTTTGCATTGAAAATTATACTTATTGCAAACTTATTTACGTAACATATATACCAAAATTGTGTGTAACAGTTTAGTGTGGAGCAAACATTGGGTTACGATGCGCAATTTTCATATTGTGCTACACTCATTCGAACTGTTTTTTAAAAAGTTTAATAATGGTACATGTATTTACGAAAAATATGTATTATCTGATAGTAAACCAATCAGTACTCAGTGTTTGAATATAATATACTTACAACATGGCATTTCATTTTGCGTTTCAAAAAAATAATATTTAGTATCTTTTTCCATCAATCGAACTGTTTGAGGAATATATTAAAAGGCATGATAATTATAGAAAAATAAAGCAAGCGAAATTATGCATGACTAATATAGTTATTTAAAGTTTAATTCATAAAACACAAAACATGCTATGTCAAAGTTGTGCGAAAAAAAATGATACCATGATGTTTAGAACTAATTTAGTTCTTATGATATACATGTATAAAATGATATAAAACAAACATGGCCATACATTGTATTTCCATCAACATGAATTTGAGATCAATTGAAATCTTTATTATATCCTTATCTTTTTAATATACATTTTGATATTTGTCACAATTGTATGTTCTATGTACATCCATATGTTTAATTGTAAAACGTATAGTGGCTAGTCAAACTGTAAAGTGAAATAAACTGAATATAATAAACTGAAATAAATTTGTTCGTTCGTTCATTCTTATTACTATGGAGCATATGTTAATTTAATAAGATATTTGTAGTTGTAGTTTGTGGTTAAATCTATAGTTTTTTCACAAATAAAAGGTCAACGTAGGGATTTATCGTCATCTTATAGGCTAGCAATAGAAACCGACAGATACACAAATTGATATGAATATAAACGATTGTAAATGTATTTATTATACAATGATCGCGAATATGATAAAATCAGCATACCACTTTATACAACATGTACTTGTCCATCCAAAGTATAAGAAAAAATTCGAATCTTAAGTCTTTTACCTGTTTTAACCTGAATCTAATAATAAATAATGTATGGTCGTTATTTCTTTATTAACTGATATTGTACTTTCTCTATTCATGTGTTGATGCTAAAAGCATTTTTTCATGTTAACAGCAATAAGGATTTTGAATTTAATTGAATACAAAACGAGACAATACAGTGTTTCTAAGTTGCATCATATCCGTATAAACAAATTTGCAAGAACTTGGCCATTTCTATTAAATTATACTGCTAAAATAATGATAACAGTAGGTATGGAACCACATACTTCTCATTCATTAGACTTTTACTTAACCGACTGTGCTATTGCGGATGTGACTAGCCGATAGTAACTTTCAAAACAGATATATACTAGTTCATGTATTATAAGATATAATTATCTTGCAATTTTGATTTTCCATATTTATAAGCTGATTAATACTTTTTTTCAAATAAAGCTTACATAATAAAAGTTTTCTTCACATGAGTAAAAAATTATAAAATAATTATCTAAATCATCTGCGTACTTTGCATATATTTATGTTCTACCAATCATTACATGTATATGAAATGAGTCTCACATTTTCCATGTGAGCTTTATACTGTAGAAAACTAGAGAAAGAATATAACTTCATGTATATCTTGTTAATCACTGATCTGATGAGTAGATGGAAATTCATGACTAATTGTACTTGGTTTTTTTTGTTGTTAAAACTATAACATCTAGATATCACTGATATACACTATAGCTCATTAACAGTAAGTCTTAGATCAGCAAATGTAATCATTAAAATATCATTTCGTTTGCATTATTCTGGCGAGTAGTTTGCATATATGCCATACTGCAACATTGTTCCTTTTTCTTACTTGAAGTGAGGACACATAATATTTTAAAGCTTTTTGATGCTCAAGTTGATCTTCATAACATTGTCCAAGTAAGTTTAGAGCTGTTTCTTTGTGACAAAGTGTTGTGTCCCTTGTGCAAGTATCTATAAGTTTAGCCAAAGCTAGGCATTTTTCTATTGTTTTCTGCTGATGTCTATTTACTTTGTATTGCAGAAAGTATAAGAAAGGGACAAAATCAACCACAGATAAGTCCATCCACATTTCATCTCTCTCATCCCTATGCTGCCTATCATCTTTACTAGATCTGAACATTTCATATTGCAGTTCTTGGGGAATACAGTTAAATTCAATCTTATGGAAACGTACACAATACCCTATACATGGCTGGATTTCAGTAACATCTTTATAACATAATGTCACGAATTCTTCTGGTGCTTCCAGTGGATGAGGATAGCATCCACAGACGGGGTTTATAAGAGCTGTTCTCTTAAATCCCACATCACTTTCAATATGCCTTAGAATGTCTCCACATTCTTCTATATTCCCTGAACAATAATATATAGAAGCTAGTTTAAGTGTTGTAGAAACACTACTGCCTGTATATTGTTTAAAATAAGTTAATTCCACATGTGAGACAGGGATAAATTGTCCAATATTGGATGAGGCCAACATGGATCCTAATGTTGCGTAAATCTCGGGTAAGAGAAACTTGCACGCTTTCTTCTCTAATTTGCTACCCTTTTCACTAACCTTGTTCAATTTTTGGATATATGTTGTTAACGTTTCTTTGTTTTCCATTGACAAAACTTTATAACTTTGTGAAACATTAGAAAAGAACGAAATATTTAGGTTTGAGCATATATACTCACTGATTTCTTTTTGAGACTGTAAGCTAGAACCAATTATTTTAGAAATCATTTTCAGTTTTAATCTTTTACCTAGATTGTCAATTTGAATACCGAATAATCCAAGTCCGTATGTATGTGCTAGATTATTAAGTGTGCTAATCAGGTCACGTTGTTCCTTGCCCGTGAACTGACCTGCCATCAAATTATTTTCATTAATAATGAAATGCGGGCATTTCTGGCTTAATAAAAAGAACCGTAATTGTAGCAGACAGACAAACACACATATGTATAAATTATCTTCTCTCCACATTCCGGGCTCTGAACTTTCTATGCAATGAAACAATGTTGTTTTGCACATATAACTTGAAATTTTAGAGTCCCCATTAGAAGAGAAATATGTTTTTGCAATCATTTTCAATAAAACGTAACAGCGTAATTGGGTAATGTTCAAACTAAACATTAAACATCTCTCTGCAATTGAAGTTGATATTCTCCACTCAATTTCCGGATCTATGCTGATCTTACTTCCAACCGGAACTAAGAAAAATCCATTCCTTACACATTCTTTTTTCATTTCTTGTGTTGGCCATCTACCCAATCCTTGTCGGTCAAACCAATCCCATGCTAAATCTGGCCATGAGAAACAAGGATAAGCAGTAACAACATCCATAGCATCCATTCTATATCCTCCTTGTGAGCTTACTGCGGGTCCATGTATTACTGATCCTTGAAAAGATTTCATATTTAAAGCACCGTGGTGTTCAGTATTTTTCAAAACAAAATTCTTTGTATATTTTAAATCATTACCTTCACGAGTCTTTGCTTGACTGAATTCGATTGGCTGGAGATAACAGTATCCTTTAGTTGTGTTATCATCTGTGACTATAAGATAGTTGCGTTTGCCATTTTTGAAGTCATCAATATCCTGTATCACATTATACGCATTATCGCAACTCAGTATATCACAATCAGATTGAAGTCCTTTTGTAACAGACCCTTCACTTTGACTTCCTAGAAAATATGTGTTGACATCGTTTCCCATTAAGCCGTCTATTAATGTTTGCATAGTCTCATTCAGCATAAATGTCTGTCTTCTTTTCATCACCAATTTCTTGTTAACACCAATATCGTCCATAACTTGAGATAGTTTTGAAGATATGTTATAATCATATTTAGTTTTGCTTAACATTCTGAAAAATAAAATAAAAAAGAAGTGGCATTGTGGTTAAGCGGTTTTCGGGGCAGTTGAAAAATATTGCCAACCCCCACACCCCTATTTCCCTAAATAATTGTCATATGTTATGATCATATTTATTTTTGCTTGACATTAAATTTTGTAATCCGAATTTGAATTTCTGTCATTTTTAGGATATAAACCATATAACATATCTTGAAATCTTGTTGTGTGTCATTACTGTTAATACGTTATATAAGCGTGTTAACAATTGTCAAACAATTGCTGTCGTGAGAGAGCACATTCAATCGTTCGTTGTTCAATAGACTAGAACTCCGCGAGTCGGATGTGTCGCCTTGTGAACAATATAGATTAGGAGAAATGGCCTGGACAATAATGAAATTTGAAAATCAACAAAGGGCAATAAATCAAAAAATAAGAAATGCAGAGCAGCAGTTTCTGTGCCCTGCACTTCTTATCAATAAGATCTATCATCCTATTACAAAAATTAAGTATGAAAATTAACAAAGGGCAATAACTCAAAAAATAAGAAATGCAGAGTACCCGTTCTTATGCACTGCACTTCTTCTTAATGAGATCTATCATCCTATGAAGTTTCAAGTCCATAGCTTTTATACTTTAGGAGAAATGGCCCGGACAAAAATAAAGTTTGAAAATTAACAAGAGCAATAACTCAAAAAATAAGAAATGCAGAGTACCAGTTCTTGGGCACTGTACTTCTTCTTAATGAGATCTATCATCCTATGAAGTTTCATGTCCATAGCTTTAACATGTATACTTTAGGAGAAATGGCCTGGACAAAAATAAAGTATGAAAATTAACAAAGGGCAATAACTCAAAAAGTAAGAAGCACAGAGTATCAGTTCTTGTGCACTGCACTTCTTCTTAATGAGATCTATCATCCTTTGAAGTTTCAAGTCCATAGCTTTTATACTTTAGGAGAAATGGCCCGGACAAAAATTTAGTATGAAAATTCACAAAGGGCAATAACTCAAAAAATAAGAAATGCGGAGTACCAGTTCTTGCCCACTGCACTTCTTCTTAATGAGATCTATCATTCTATGAAGTTTCAAGTCCATAGCTTTTATACTTTAGGAGAAATGGCCCAGACAAAAAAAAAGTATGAAAATTAACAAAGGGCAATAACTCAAAAAATAAGAAGTGCAGAGTACCGGTTCTTGTGCACTGCACTTCGGGTCATTGTAAGAAGCATGCATACCAAGTTTGAAGTCAATCCGACTAATTATGACTGACTTATGCTCCGGACAAGCTTAAGGGGACGCTGACACCGACAACGACGCCGACAATGCCGACGAAAGTAACCCCTATATGTCGCTTTCAAGGCGACACAACAAGCACGGACTTTAATTGACAAATTGTAATTTAAATCCGTGAGAAAAGGGTGGTCTTTAAATAGAGGCACACACTGACAATTCTGTCAAAATTCATAACATGGATGTGTACTGTTCTTGCCTGAAAATATAGGCATGAAAGTCTTATAAAAAGTTCTAATAATGTGCAGATGGTACAAATCAACTGAAATTTTTAGCGAACGAAAGCACGTTTCTGTTTTAATGCATATTATGAGTATGAATTTATGGTTAAATGAAGTTTGAAAATAACTCTCTTTTACAATTATTGTCAAGAAAATGTATGACCAGAGAAGTTTTGCGTGTTACTTTTAAGAGAGAGAGAGAGGGTAATTTTTTTTTACAAGTTTACTTTTTTCTGCCCTGAGAGCCATGAAAAGACTGTAAATAATTTAGATAACTATACAGTGAACTTTTGATAATTCTTTAAAATATTTGAAACATCCACTAACATTATCAAATTGACTGATAACAATGTGATTCGACCTGTTCAAACAATGACTCAAAGTGTACCTTGTACCTTATGCGTCTTCGAAAGATTAAAGTTATATATAAGCTGTCAGGTGTAATTGTAGTTGTAATCACAAATAGACTCTTAGGAGAATAACGCTCGTGGTAGATCCTTTAAACACCACCATTTATGGGTTATAAATTATAGTTTCATATAATATATAAGATTTCAGTAGATAAAATTGTAATTACACAAACATAGAATATTAATAAAGAATACTTGTAAACATTAAAGCATGATGCGTTCATATTTACTTTGTTGTTTTTTATGCTTCAAATATATAATCGTTGAGTGTCCGAATAATTCCGATGATCGATTATATGATTTTGTCCTTGATTAAGAAACCCTACTCATATGAAATGATTGTAATCTCAGATAGACTTTAAATAAGGAAAATTAACGCCCGCGGTAGATACGCCACCATTTACATAGATGATATTTGTTTAGTTCAGTGTAAGATCGGAATATATTTCGATCTTTCACTAAATTAAACAAATTTTCTTTTTATTATATGCAAAGAAACGTTTTAAAAAGACATTAAACCTAATACTGAATGAAAAGCGCGCCAAATAATTTGCGTGTAATAAAAAGAAAATTTGTTTAGTTTAGTGTAAGATTGAAATATATTTCACCTTGTGAACACCAAAAGTTCATATTTCACTCGTGGCTGCGCCACTCGTGAAATATACCTTTTGGTGCTCACTCGGTGAAATATATTCCGATCTTACACTGAACTAAACAAATATCCTCTATTTTATATCACTGATATATTTCTATAAACCACTGAAAAGCATGTAATAAATATCGTGTAATTTGTAAGAATAAAGTTAGGTTTCATGTTCGTCTCACCTTTCATCGTTACACTAGATCTACCATACAAGAATGTTTAAAAATGTGTATGCCTAATCCAATAAAATTAAAATATGTCAGTTTTCGTACTGTAAACTTGGTTTATGTCGAATTCACTTATTTTACACGAGGATAATAACACGAATATGCACTACAGTTTAACATAGTGTATAATTATGTATAGTACAGCGCAAGTATGTAAACAGACACTGGTGTACGTACAAAATATGTGACATATGTGTTTGATAACCAAAGTCAGAAATTAATTCCAAGTTCATTCCCATTACATTAAGAATATACTAATACAAAGATTCTATAATCAAATACATATTTGTGTACATTGATTAGCCGAACAGGTGGTCTGTAAGACTATGTAAATAGTACGATTCCGATGCTATAATCATCATACACACATATTTAAGGAAATCATGAAATATATTATTAATTAAATTTATACAAACCTGGCAGTTTTTATTAATTCAAAAATCTACAATTGGTAGCTCCATTTTCACTTTAAACTCGTGTTTGACATTACTTAAAATATATGGATTTCAAAATACAGCCTCGGGTTGTGTAAATAATAATAATCAAATGATACCATTTAAACGAATAAAACTATTCCTACTTAAAAGAGTTGTCGCCCTTTAAACTTTCTGTAAGAGAATGCGGTTATATAATGTTATTATATAGCAAGATTCCTTAACTGTGCTTATCAAATTAATTACATACAAGGTTAGCTTTTAAAAAAGCTAGTAGCGACTCGCTTCGTAATTTTTTTCAAGGGGTGTGTTTAAATGTAAAAATGACAGTTCTGTTAGCTGAAGAGACTTCAGCGAACATCAAAATAAAAGTGAAGTCAACACTGGCCCGGTGCCCGATGGCCAGTGTATATAAGTTCAGGCCAGTGTAAATTTAAGAAAATTTTGTTAATTATTTAGTAGAATAAATTCAAAACTGGAATTCGGGCCAGTAAATTCAAAATCTTAAACTCATTGACTGAAAGTGACATATAAAGTTCTCTCAGTTTAACCAAGATGAGTATGAGTATATATGAAGGTGCATGTAAACAGATAGAATGAAGAACCTATGTCTATGCACATTTACTATATGGCCTGTTGACCTTGACCACAAAATGTTAGATAGGTAGATTTCATAAAGATGTCTCTTTATACAAAATTAAGTTGTAATACATGTATGTTATTTAGTATTGGAATGAGAGGCACAAGTCCTAAATTAAACACAAGTTGTCAATCAATTCAGCCAGAAAAGCCGGGATCCTATTAAAAAATATAGGGATCCCGGAAATTGACCAGTCTAAGAAGATGTTTTTCAGATAAGCCGGGATCCTATTAAAACATATAGGGATCCCGGAAATTGACAGGTTCAAGAATATAGTTTTCAGAAAAGCCGGGATCGTATTAGCCTGGGTTCCAGTCTGTCGATTTTTTTATGTGCTTCTGTTCGGCAAATCGACATCTATTGATACTATCAAAACCAGAGATGTTGTGCGTTATCTATGACGATCGAGTATGAAATAGCGCGTGTTTTATAAATAAGCAAAAAATATCAACGCCTGAATCCCAGGCTAGGATCGTATTAAAATGTAAATAGATCTCACGGATTGGCCAGTTCAAGTATATAGTTTTCAGAAAAGCTGGGATCGTTTTAAAACATATAGGGATCCCGGGATTTGGCCAATTCAAGAAAATAGTCTTTGATTTTTCCAATTAATTAGGCATATAATTATAAGTATTGTGATTTCCGCATTTTAAGTTTGTTAATAAATAGCTCTAAATATATCTATATTCTAAGTTAAATTAATTTAACGTTCATTATATACAATAAAAAAATTAACGTTTAATGGCCTTTCATTACGACAACAATCAACACAAATATAGTTCATTAGGTTTTTCCTCCATATCTTATACGATCCCGGATCCCGGGCGTCCCGGATCCCGGCTAGTAAATACATGCACTAAATACCGGAAAGGATAAAATGACCGGAAAAAATAAAAAATGCACAGAACCAGATGTACACTTATGTTAATTAACCAAACGAAAACTTACTACAGAGAAACAGGTGAAATCGCTAAATCAGAAGTCAGTGTAAATATGATTTATTGAAAAGAATTCATAAAGACAAACATTTTAATCATCATTAAATCTTTGCGCTCAAAACAATACTTGCTGATTTTTAAAAATGGCGTGAAAATTGAAGGTTTTTTGACGCTATGTAAGATTAAATTTGATTGGCTAAATATTTTGGATCCTAGCCCTGATAGATAAATTTTGTAGAAAGCTGGAAGCCAAGCTTCGATTAAATTTTTGGATGGCTTCGGAGTTTTAGGTTGTTTCTCAGTAAAATCCTACCGTAATACCGGCTCGCCGTGGCGAGCCGGCAATATACCGGTGATAACGTAGTAAATATCTCTATACTTTTGTACATTTCAAGAGAACGCTAGCAGTGTGTCATAGCACGGATTTATATTACAATATAAATCCGTGGTCATAGGAAATAATGAAAGTGAAGTCCGATTTTCTATGTACTTCCGTTTTAATTATTAATATCTTATAGAAAATCTATCATTATAAACAAAATGGGAATGGGATATTTTAAAGATTGTATCATAATGTGCACAATATTTTTATCAATGGCAGGAATGAGCTAACTGGGTTACTATATTACCGAGATGGCAGGTGCTATGTAGACCTCTAGCTATCCCTCAAGTTGATTCGGTCAACAATTAAACATATACAGCCTGTTATAAGCATTATTATTCAAAATAGAATTGATTATTTATGTGATGATGATTTTAGTTTTATTTTAGCTCGGCGCCGGAAATTCCATATTCCCGAGATCTCAGCGTCCATGCCGGTCCACTCTAGAAGTCACATAGGGAATGTCATTTTCATGCCGATCTTCCTTAATCTATTCTTCGTTCGTTGGAAGGAAGACAATACTGGCAATGTATCATGTTCCGTGACGGCAGCAAACAGGCAGCTAACATAAAACGGCTCTTGTTAGCGCCACCCTTAAATTTCGAGTTAGTCACGACAGGTCTCTGGTACTTGAGACAACTTGACCTTGACCCGCCGTGTGCCTTCTCCGCGACGTGCACGCCTCGGGAGGGATTTGGAGAAGGATTATTTATGTAAATGCCCGTGAGTCTTTAAATACTAATATTTTTACAATATCATCGGTGAGTGCACGTCGCTGAGAAGGTACACGGCATCTTCAGGCAAATGAAGAAACACTGAAACGTGTAATACGACAAGTTTGCATGTTTTCTACAGCTCAGTGTCAGTGTTGTTGCCTTAAAGAGTATTCATTTATCTAAGATTTCACACCAAGATTGTTAAGATCGGTGAAAAGTTGATGAATATATGTGCTAATAAATGAGATGCTAGTGATTGTAAGTACAGTAAAATACTTTTAATTTTTCAGTCATAGTTTTTTTTTTTCTTCATTTACATTTGTAGTTGATTTTCGTCAAAACTTAAGATGTTTGGATGATTATGCTCATCTTTGAGTAAAATAATTTTCTCGGAGAAAGTTATCAAAATCTTTGAAATTCTTACTGAATATATCTAATTTGAATAAAAGAATGAATAAACTATGTATGGGAAGCTGCATTCCCATTTACAGGTCAAGTAAAATTGATTCTTCAAAAAAAAACACAAAAAAACGAACTGTCAGTTTTTTAATGACCCTATATATTCATATTGTTGTCTCCTAATAGACATGGATTAATGCTGTCGCCCATGGATGACGTCATTGGGGGATATGGTGGACATTGCAGATAAGATAAAGTACATTAATAGAGGGATATAAAGATCTTAATCCTAGCTCACTCTTGTTAGATGGGCAGATTGAAATTGCCAAAATTGTATGTAATTGAATAAGATATTACATAAAAAGAATGGTCAAATGAATAAAAGTGTCTACCACAATAAGGTTAACGATCTGTTTCAATACTGGTAACATTTTTGTTAGATTCTCAATAATGCAAATTGTCGCACCGTGTTTTACCAGGCAGTTAAATCGTTCTTACTTGCTAATACACCGTACCAAGAGCTATTTTGAGTTTCCAAAATGTAAGTTTTTTGTAGTTTCGATAAACGGCTGCGTAATAATTAACTGAAAGAAGATACTGGTTGAATAATTATTATTTTGAGTATAGCATTGAGCAACTAAATGAGCACATTAACCAACCAATTGAGTAATGTTTTGTAAAATTGACAAGACAAAATGACCCGAGGACAATGGAAACTGACTCTAAAATTTCTAAAAAAAAATTACCAGGCTGGATCCCCCAATCCCCTTCATCAGCATCAGAATAATCGAGCAAGGCATCGAACACTGAATATCTATCATGCTCTTAATCCATTATTAAAACATAATCAAACATATGTTTGGCATTTTAAAGAATAAAAAAATGTAGAATTTGAGGCACAATGTGCCTGAAAGTAATATTGCATGACTGAAATGCAATGAGAAACAAAAAAAAGGAACCACCAACTTCATAATTATGATAAAAGACAAGCATGCTCAACATGAAAAATATTTACAATATATATATTAAAGCATCTTAATTGTGAAGAGTGTTCAGCTTAATATCAAAAGGAGGGTGCAGGTGAAGCGTCAACTTTAAAATAGAGATTTCCAATTAGTATAGAACTTTGGATTCCTTCCGGTAAGGAAACTATATCCAGCTACAATAAGGAAGGTCGGTGGTTCAATTCGGGTGCCTGCTCGTGCCTGAAAAAATGCAAGAATGGTCACCTGATCTCTTCCTCCAACTGAAAAGCTTAGAAAACACCGTATTATCTTTACAGTTTAAATGTGACTTAATGCAGCATGCCTCCAGATTACATGCTGATTTTCATGAAAATTGTAAAATGTATTTAAAACTAAAATACTGTGAAATGAACAAAGAAAGTAATTTACACATTGCAACGGCACGGCACTTACAATCCCCGTAAATTACCAAAAAAGAGGTCAAAATGTACATAAATACATGTACCTCTTAATTACTGCGTTAGTAACGCAGTATAATTGTAGTGATTGATACTGCAAAATCAGCCATCATTGAACATAACAAATAAAAAGTTAATTAAATATTAAATATTTTTACGTTTCTTAAGATCTTAATACATTTTTTTCTAAAGATTGAATTTCTTGAAATATTTTGGCTAAATATGGAGGCGTGCAGCTTTAAAATCCAACAAAACAAAACACCGGTATAGAAAAAGCATATTTCAGCATCTGTGTTCAACAGACCAAGTTTCAAAATGAAACAAGTTTAAACTGTGAACTCATTAATAGATGTGTGGATATTTAAAAATCTGAATTAATATCTGTACCATTCAAATAAAATGTATTCTGCTGTGAGAATTTAAATATTTTAAACAACAAGGCACAGAGGCAAAACACAAATATGTAGTAGAAAAAGAGTAAAAGATTCAGTATGATAGGATGCAAGATGATACTGAGAGTCGAATTCTTTACATAAAGATACTATAGATTTATTGTGCTATCATCAAAAATGTGAGGAAGACAGGTCCAATTAGAAGTACATGTACCATTGTAGTGATTTAACTACAAGGGTAT